GCTCGGCCGGTGGCCGCTGGCAGTGGACCACGCCGCTGCACCCCGGTGCGCCAGAAGTCCCCACGTCCCTCGCCGGCCCGGGTTTCTGCCTCTGCCTCCCAGTCCAGGGCTGCTGAGACCTGCAGCTCTCTGTTGCCCGATCCATCCCGGCCACCGACCCCGGGGCGGTCTGCAGCAGATCTCCAGCCAACTGGCAGATGTGGTCGTGGTCGTCGACCTCGGGAAAGGTGGAGTCAAGAGTCTGTTGTCCAGGCCCGGGCTAAGAGGCGCCTCTCAGGGAGTACAGCGCGCACAGCTCAGGATCCCGAGGCCCAGCCCCTGCCTGCTGATGAGCCCCACAGGGACAGCCCTGCATCTCTGAGCCCTGGGTCCCCGCATCCTGCAAAGGCTTCTGGGTGCTGATGTGCCTCTGTCCCCTAAGCCCAGTTCCCCACTGTTCTTGTGTGTGGACACTCTTTGAGACTGGTCATAATTATATCTCAGAACCTTGGGCGAGTTTGTAGGTCACTGATCTTGCATGAGAGTCCCGGTGTTGCCGCTGTATGGGCTGAGTCCGTGGTATGTACCAAGTTCACCATACTTTGTTCCTCCCAGAACCTCGAATGTCTTTGGACACTGCCTACTCCTGTGTTGCCAACTGAAGTTTCATCCACTGGACACTCCTGTGTGTCTGCAGACGAGGTTCTGCTGAGTTTGCCAGAGCATGATCTACCCACACCCCCATCCTCTGAGACAATGCTGTATTTGCTAAGCTTCTGAAGAATCCTGGGCTTTGGTCCCCACCAAACTCCCTCCCTTTTCTCCTCCTCCTCCCCCTTCTCCTTTTGTGCAAAACTAGGCCTTTTTGACCGATTAGGTCAGTAGAATCTCAGAAAATAATTTATGATCTTTCTGAGTTATTAATGTATTTAAAATGTATTATCAACAGTACTCGTTCACAAATTTATTAAAGGCAACCAAAATGTTAATGTCTGACTTTATTTCTAATAGTATCCATTCAACCAATCGAAGGGTTGAGGTTATTGTTTTCCGCACTTTTCTTAATAACTATATCAAAACATTTTAACCAAAACTTCTTTTTATGGGCTGGTAAATTGTGTGGTATTAATGAATGAAGTTGGGGATGATAGTTGGTTTCTAGCTGGCTGGCAGGCTGGGGTATGTGGTTTGCAACTATTATCATAAAGATGACTTGGCTGGGCGGTAGGACCTCGTTGCTAGGACAGATGAGCACACGTAGGACAAACGTGCCATCATCCAAATATCTTCTCTTTAAGTCTCCATGCTGTTTCAAGGCTGTATGTATACTTCATGTGCTTAATTCATTCTTCCCAAAATACAAGTCCATAAATAAATGAACAAGATAATTTCAATTGGTTAGATATGCTGTGAAGAAACTAAAGGTGATGGGACCATAGAGTAGAATGGGTAGGGCTGGACTAGGTTCTGGTCATCGGGGAAATCATAGACGAGACCATTCCAAGACTCAACTGACGAGAGGTCCAGAGCTGATCTCCACCTAGAAGAAACAGCAAGTGTAATAGACCTAATGTGGAACCTGGTGCTTTTGTTTTTTTCAGGAGTAGAAAGGAAGCTCATATGTGTCTGGGGCATAGAGATGAAGGAAGGAGAGAGTCAGGGTCCAGGATGTGTAAGACTTTGTGACTCATGTTAAGTATCTGAATTTTTCTCAATTTGAAATAAAGCATTGAAAATAGAAAACAGCACTTGACATGCTATAATTTACATATTTAAATAATCTGCTTAGTTCTGTGGACACTGTGGGGGCAGGAGAAGTAGAAGATGTAATACAAGTTAGAATGGATGGTTACTTAGGCTTAAGCATTAGCACTGAAAATGCACAGAAGTGGACAAACAATAAATTTTGGAAATTGAAAATTATAGTTTGATACAGAGGGAAACATTTCAAAGAAGCAAACCACCTTTCTCCCCCTCCCCCGCCCTCCCAGCTCTCCCACACTGAATTTTAGTAAGGCTCAGGAATTTGAAACAGCTATAAATCTGAAGGCAGGAGTGATGAAAAAGTAGTGACTGAAGTTCTATTGAGGAGCAGTTAAAACCCGTGTCACACCCCCACCACCATGCAGCTAGACAAATTTATCTTTCTTAATGTAACAGGAGGTGGAAGTGTATTCTGTGGAAATTGAAGCTGAGAGTCTGAATTCAGGGTCTCCGGGCACAGTGGAAGATGAGAGTGAGATGCCTGACTGAAAAGGAGATTAAGCCGAATATTGAGATGGTGGAACCACATGGTGGAAGCAGACTAGAATCACTTGGAAGGTAGCGGCTCTGGAGAGCAACTGGACTCACAGTAGATCTTACATGAGCAAGAAATAAACTTTTATGTGATAAGTAACTGAGATTTTGAGGATTTTTCCCACCTTCAATTTCGGTCTATTGTGGAAATGGCAGTGCAGAGAAATAAAGGAATTCGGAAAAGTCTCTCTGAAGACAATAGTCTTATCTCAGGTTCCTTTTTAAAAATTTAGAAACTGAAATTCTCCTTGTTATATATAGTTGAGAAATATAATCTCTTCCTTGGCAGATAGATACCCTTAAAGCCTAGGACAAAAAAAAAAAAAAAAAAAAAATGTAGTTGAGAAATATAATCTCTTCCCTGGCAGATAGATATCCTTAAAGCCTAGGACAAAAAAAAAATTGGGGTTTTTGATAAGAAAAAATTTTTTTCCCAGGAAATATTGTTTCTATAGTACTCATATTTTCACTGTTACTTTCATACATTTTAAAATTTTATTTTGCCCGATAAGGTCGAGTAATGTTAAGAATACAGTTTAGCTGTACCAACAACTGGTTTCTAAATTAGTCTTGAAAGAACAAGGAACTGGAGGTGGTTGTGGGGGTGGTTCTTCAAGAAAATCTATTCAAAATTCTTTTACTTCATGTTGACACACTCAATTTGGACCACTCTTCTCAGCAAAAGATGCCCATATCCAATTGTTTCTCCATGTCCAATAAGTTTTTGCTATGCTTGGTCTTTGAAAAGCAAGGAACGTTGATCACAAAAATATATAAAGGCAAGGGTAGACCACCTCTGTTCTCTCTGCTATGGTCCCTCCTAGGCCTCTCACTGCTTCTGAGAAATAATCATGTGTTTAGTGTATATTCTTCGAGTTTCCAGATGAAAGTCTTCACAGCCAAAAGTCACATGTCATGTGGTTTTATCAATTTATCCCCTCCACCATCTTTTTAAAGAGTCAATATTACAATTACAAGATCTAAAGACATTGTTACATACAGATCCTAGTCAGTCCAGCAAAGTCAACTAGGTCTGTGTAATTTTTTATTCATTCACCTGCTGATGGACAATAAGATTATTTTCAAATATTCGTTAATTCACACAACACTTTACTGAATAGCTGCACATAGAAATAAAATTGCTGGGTTGTATTTACGTTCATTTTCAACTTTAATAGGAACAACCAGATTGGCCTCCAATTTCTATCTCCATTGGCAACGGGGGAGAGTTCTGGTTTTTCCTTATCTTGGGCTATTTTTTATATATTGTCAGACCTTTCATTTCTTCTCATCTAAATGGGTGAAAAAATAGTATCTTGTTGCATTTCCCTAGTTACTAGGGATCCTGCACATCTTTTCATATATTTATTGGCCATTTGGATTTCCTCCTTTATGAACTGCCTATCCAAAAGTTTTGCCCACTTTTTCGAGCTTGACTTTTTTTTATTGATCTATGGAAGTTTTTTGATAATTCAGTGTCTATTTTATGTATGATGAAAAACTTCTCATAACCTGTAATTTATTTTAATTTTTTTATGTCATTGTATTAGTCAAGGCTCTCCAGAGAAACAGAATCATAGGATAGATACAAATATATATGAGGAGCTTTATCACAAGAATTAGTTCACATAGCTATGGAAACCAAGAATTCTCATGATCTGCCAGATCAGCGGTCTGTAGCCTGAAGAATCAGGAATATGGTGGTGTAATTCAGTTTGAGTCTGAAGGCTTGAGAATCTCGGGGTCAATGGTATAAGTCCAAGTTTCAGGCTGAAAGCCCAGGAACAAGAAATACCTATGTAAGATGTCCCAGGGTAGGCAAATAAGAAGGTGTTGGCTCAAGCAGAGAGTGAATTTGTTCTTCTTCTGCTCTTTTTGTTCCAAATGGCTTAGATGATCCTACCTGTATGGATGAAGTTATTTTTACTTAATCTAGTGATGCAAATGCTAATCTCTTCCCCAGACACCCACACAGACATACTCAGAAATAATGCTTTACCAGCTATCTGAGCATCTCTTAGCCAAGTCAGATTCATACATACAATTCATCACATTTGTCACTACACTAGAATTGGTTAAGTAGATCAGACATTTCCATTTAACCAATTTTAAGCATTTTTTTAAGACTTTTTTTTCACCCTGAGTTCGTAAAGACCTTCTTCAATATTTTCCCTAACAGTTTTAAAGTTATGTTTTGTATCTTCACTCTGTAATTCATCTCAAATGTATGTAAGTATCACATATTGAATAGTCCATTCCTCCCCACCAGTTTGGGGTGCTGCCTCTACTATATACAGATTCCCACATATAAGTATATTGTGTCTGATCCTTCTATTCTGTACATAGATGTATTTATCCATTGAAGCTCAAATATCACTTTGATAGGGGAGAAGTCACCCCTCTGTTTTCTCCTTTTAAAGAATCATCTTGGAGATTCTTATTTGAATACCTGACCACCATTTACTAGATCTGTCACCTCAAGCAAGTTGCTTAAAGTCTCCTTGACTCAGTTTCCTCATCTGAGAAATAGGGCTAATAGGATTTCCCTTATAGGGTCATTATGAGGATCGAATAAGTTATTCTATGCAGAATTCATTGAATGGTGTCTGGCATTTGATAGTTACCATATGTGTTAGCTACTTTTAATATTTTTACTATTAGAGGTAAAGAGAGACTTCTGTTCATCAAAAGATATGAAAAAGAGAGTGAAAAGGCAAATCAAAGAGTGGGAGACTGTATTACTCATATTCAGTCAAGAGCTAGTATCCAGAATATATAAAGGACTAGTACAAAGAGAGAAAGAGACAAACCAGCAGAAAAATGGACAAAAATACTTCTTTAGGCATTTCACAAAGGAGCACATCCAATTGGCAGATAAACATGAAGAAATTACTCACCCTCATTAATAATTAAGGAAATGCAAATTATAATGAGATACCCCAATACCCTCACCTGATTGGCTAAAGCTAAAAAGGCTGATTATCATCAGAGGTTGGCAAAAGTGAAGAGCAATGAGCACTCTCATATGAAGTCAGCGAGTGTGTATTTGCTAAAAACTGGCAAAAAACTGTCAAGATAAAATTTGAAATCACATAACCTATGACAAAGAGATTCATTTTTATGAGAGAGTGAGGGGTGATCCAATACACATGTGGGAAAATGTTCAGAGCAATGGTGTAAGAGGCCAAAGTGGAAACAACTCAAAGGCCCAGAAACAATAAAAACATTTATATGATTGAAAACTTTACAACCCAAAACAGCACAAAGTCCAGGAATATGCAACGACATTAATGAAGAAAAAATAGAAAAGAACACATGAAAGTACAGAAAGTATGAGTCTATTTTTTAAGGTTTTATAAAGTTTTCAAAAATGGGTACAGTTTTAATTTTATATTGTTTACTATAATTAATATGCCTGTTCTTAAGATAGGGTCAGTCTAAGAGGCAGATAGGACTGTACTCCTGGAGGAGGAGCACAAGCCAGGCTCCCGGGTGCCTGGCAATGTTGTATTTTTTAACCTGGGTGGTGGTTCCACTTTTGTTCATTCTACAGTTATTAATAGATACTAATGGTTATTAATATGTACAACTTAACTGTACATATATTCTTTATGCATTTCTGTAAGCGCATTCTATTTCATGATTTTAAAATGTTAAAAAAAAACCACCTGTTTTCTGCTTTAACAAAGTTGTCATACAGTGATTTAGAGAATCATTTAGTTTATTGTGCTGTATTGTTTTGTAGACTTAAAAAAATCTGATTATATTTAATTTTTTTCTTTCTAATAGTGTTTGGATGCCTTTATTTATTTATTTATTATTTATTTTATTACACTTAGTAATATTTTATATTTTAAAACAGTTTTAGATTTATAGAAAACTGAGCAGATAGTTCACAGAGTTCCCATATAAGCACCCCCAAACCACCCCACTCACATTTCCTCCTATTATTAATATCTTACATTACTATGGTAAATTTGTTACATTTACTGAACCAATACCAACATGTTATTGTTCACTATAAAGGCCATAGTTTATTCAGATTTCCTCAGTTTTTATCCAATGCCCCTTTTCCAGTCCAAGATCCCATCCAAAACACCAAATTACATTTAATTTTTATGTCTTCTAAGGTTTTTCTCAGTAATAACTGGTTCTCAGACCTTCTTTGTTTTTGACAAAATGTTTATATGTGGGACTGGTCAGGTATATTGTAGGATGCCCCTCTAGTGGAATACGTCTGATATTTTTCTTATGGTTAGCCTGGGTTTATGCATTTTTCAGAGGAAGATTACAGAGTAAAGAGCCATTTTTATTGCATCATACCAAGGGCATTACTATCAACATAATTTAGGACTAACGATGTTGACCTGGCTGAAATAGCGTTTGTCAGGGTTCTCCACTATAAAATTACTACCCCCACCTCACTCTCACTTGCCACTCTGTACCATTGAAGACAGTCAATATTCGCAACTCACTCTCAGGGGGCAGGGGGGTTGCACTCACCTCCATTAGGGTGAAGAACTGTATAATTTATTTGCAATCTTCTGCCAGAGAGATTTATTTGTCTCGTCTTACTAATTTTTGATTTATTCATTTACTTATGTCATTATGAGTCATAGATACTTATTTTATACTTTGGATTATAATTCAGTACTACTTTACTTTGTTGCTGAAATCGCTGGAGTTTTGGTCATCGGGAGCTCTTTTCTTTGGTTCCAGTGTCCCCATTGATGTATTTGTTTTTGGCGAGTCCTTAATTTCAGGCACTACCAGATGCTCCAGGCTCATGTTGTGTATTTTATGCCCTAGTCCTATAAAACTTTTTTCCTTCAATGGTATCATTAGTTCATTATTTTAATTTTCTTTAAAAGTATCAAATTTCTGTTTTTATTAATTATCTCTATTTTTGTCTGTTCGTTTTCACTTTTGTTTCTCTATCATTCTATTATTATTTTTATCTTTTCTTTTGCATATTTCTGTTTTTTTTTTTACAAACTCCTTGAGTAGAACACAGAAATCAATAAGTTTTTAGATATTATATGGATATTATTGTAGGTATGTGGGTATTAATTTTCAAATAAAAGTGATTGGGTTCAGTTTTTTGTTGACTTTCAATTTTATTTTATTGTGGTTAAGATTGTGCTTAATATGATGTTGATTCTATGAAATTTTTATTGATTTTTTTTTGGTGGTCTTTTTTTTTTTTTTTAATGCCTACGGCGCCTGGTATTCGTAGATGGTCTCCCATCCAAGTACTAACCAGACCTGACCCTGCTTAGCTTCCAAGATTAGATGAGTTGTGGTTTTATATGGATAAATTTTTGTGTATGTTTTATATGTATTGAAAAGCATTTTCCATTTGCTATGTAATTGTTGCTAGTTATATGATCGAAGTTGTTAAAGTTGTTCAAACTTTAATAGCATTATTAATTTTATTCTCTACTCATCTATCATTTCCTGAGAGAAATGCGTTTTAAAAAAACTTCCACCATTATTACAAATATGTCAGTTTTACCTTTCTGTTCTATGTGGTTAGGTGCATAAAGTTCATCATTGTAATATCTTCTTAGTGAGTTTTTCCTTTTGATAACTATAAAATGTCCTTCCTTTATCCTATAAATAAATACATTTGATATTAATTACTGCTTGATCAGTTTATTTTTTAAATATTTGCATGGTTTTATTTTCCCACTCCTTTATTTTCAACCTCTTAGTTTGCTTTGTTTTAAGATTGCTTTAAAAGACCAAAGGCATGGACAAAGTGAGATCACCAACAGGACTCTTAGCCACGTGATCACAGTAGATAGGTGCTGATTAGACTATTGCCCAGGTATAAAGCCAGACCCATCAAGATGTGGGGCTGCATTCAGAGGCTAGCTGTCAAGAGGACACTGTCTCTGTGGCTCCTGCAGTACCTTCACTTGGAATAAGGATTTTGCTGGTAGAAGGTAGGTCATTTTATTTCTGCTATTTGTGCTTATGAGAAAAAGTTATTTTCTTGTTATAAGTTTTAAGAAGCGATTGTAGTTTTATAGAGATTTATGACTGAGAAATATGCAGTGGGATATTATTATTCCTTGAGTTAAAACAAAGTTTTATTGTTAAACTGTGTTTTTCAGATTTGTGTGGTTAATTTTTTTTTTAATATTTTCTAGGTAAAAATCGCAGATTTTTAGCAAAAAGCACTGCATTTAGGGGGCTGGTATCCAACGGAAATAAGAGGGTTTTCTAGAACTAGGAAAGAACCTGGAAAATATGTGAAATTAAATTAGGGATTTTGATTGGATATGGAGGTATTAGAATTGGGATAGTGCTGATTGAATTAGAGTTAGGATGGGACATATATAGCCTGACCTTGAGCACAGCGTATTTCATTTAGAGGCTGAATCCTTAAAGGAGATAATTTTCTGGATCCTAGTGCATTATCATTTGGAATCAAAATTTTAGATTAGCAGAAAGCAAACACTTTTTTGTTTTTGTTTTTCCTATAAAGCATAAAACGGATGAAAACAATAATATTTTATATCACGAAGCAACTTTTTCCTGGTAAAATTTATTCATTTATGCTTTCAAGGTACAAATACTATGTGTGTCGCATTTTTTAATTCCTTCATTGGGACCTTGTATTTCTGCTGTTAAAGGTACTGAAAACATTTTTGCTCTTCCAACTTATAATTGATCGTTAAATGGTGTTTTAAATGCTATTAATTTCTGTATGCTAATCTGTGTAGAAAGTTTGTTGAACCCTATATTTCAAATAATTTGTTAATGTGAGTTAATAATTAGATTTTAATTATTTAGATTTTTTTCCCAAATGTTTGTTCATTAAGGATAATGCTTGTAAGGAGTGAATACATTGGTATTCTGTATTTTTTGCCTGCTCGTGGCTTGCATAGGCACTATTTTTTTCTATTATGGGAATTCTTTCCTCTTTCTTTTAAAAGCATGTATTAAAATAATGAAATAAATGTTGAGTTATTTCAAATATTTTTCTGTATGCAATAGATGATGACTTTTCCATATCACTTATTAAGGTATTCAGTAACACTGATAGAATTTAAAAACTATCCTTGGAATAATTTATCATCATGTGTTATCCTTTTAATGCCCTGTTGCAGTAAGATTTGATAAAATTTTATTTAAGATTTTTGCACCTTTGCCCCTAGATAAAACTAGCCTTATAGAGTACTTAGCCAGTGTTACCTTCTTCTGGTTTTGGCTTCAAGATTATGCCTTCAACCTCATAAGGTAAACTGAATATCACACCCTAGAAAAGTTTGTATGAGGTAAGAGTCAGAATGCATTTATGGAATGATGCGTTAGGTTTTACGAGTCATATTTAAACAACTGTCATATTTTTTATTAAGTTTATTGGTATATCAGTATTTTACTTCTTTCTTTGACCACTTTGGGGGTATTTGTATTTTTTGAGAAACGATCCATCTTACTTTTCAAAATTAGCACCAAGATGCTCATAAGATAAAACTATAATTAAAAAAAAATTCTCTGCTGGATTTTTAGCTATGTTCCTTATTTTATCGTAATGTGGTTTATTTGTACTTTTCTCTTCATGCTTATTTATGTCTTTTCACTTCTAATGGTCTTTTCTAAGAATCAGGTTTTGGGTATGGTCACCATTTCTATTGCGTGTTATGTTTTCTTTTGTAATTGTTTCAGCTTACATTTTTGTTTTCCTTTCTTTAATTTATCTTTGAGGTTAATTTATTCAGCTTCTTGAGCTGAGTGCTTAGTTCATTTATTCAAAAACTTGCTTAATTTTCTTTTAGTTCAGTTAGATGTTTCTCTTTTTCTGTATTATGATTTGCCCTAAAATTCATTTTTTAAAAATTTTAGCTTTACTGTGAATAATTGACATATGAAATTGTAAATTTGAAAGTGAACATTGTGATTTGACATATGTATACATTGTGAAACAATTACCCCATGTAGTTAATTAACACCACAATTGCTCACATATTTACCTTTCTCCACTCCCCACTCCTTTGAGAATATTTAAATTCTACTCTCTTAGCAAATTTCAATTACATAGTACGCTGTTATCAACTATAGTCACCATGTTTTACATTAGATCCTCAGGCCTAATTGATTTTATAGCTATAAGTTTGTAACCTTTTACCAGCCTCTCCTTTTTATCCAAGCTCCTTTCCCCGCGTCCCCCCACCACTCCCGTCCCCAGGCAACCACTTTTCTACTCTGTTTCTCTAAGTTTCACTTAAAAAAAAAAAGATTTTACATGTAAATGATACTATGCAGTATTTGTCTTACTGACATATCTCACTTAGCATGGTGCTCTCAAGGTCCATCCATGCTGTTGTAAATGGCAGGATTCCCTTCTTTCTTACAGCTAAATGATATTTCATGGTATATATATATTACATCTTCTTTATCTATTCATCCATGGATGGACACTCAGATTGTTTCCATATCTTAGCTATTTTGAAAAGTACTTTAACAACATGGGCTGCAGATATCTCTTTGATATTCTGTTTTCTATTCTTTTGGATATTTAACCAGAAGCGGGATTGCTGGATCATATGGTAGTTCTATTTTTAATGTTTTGAGAAACCTCCATACTGTTTTCCATAGTGGCTGCACCAATCTACATTCTTTCCAACAGTGGGGGTGGGGGTGGGGGTGGGGGGGTTGCCCTTAAATTCTAATGTGAAATTAACATTGCCATGCCAATTTTCTTTAACTTGGTGCTAAATCAGTATTTCTTTTGCCATCCACTTATTTTCAAATATTCTGTATTCCTTTCTTTAGGTTTAGCTTTTAAATTTCTTTGAAGAGACTTTCTGCTACAGTGGGATAAGGAGCTATCCATATACTCAAGCCTGTGAATCAGGAGAGACCTCGGAGACCCCAACACCCCAACTGAGGAACCTCACAAAGCCACAGGCTAAGCTTCTACTTGACTTGGTTCACAGTGCCTCCTGCACTGGGAATGCTCCATTTCCTTTGGGTACAAAATGCTGACCAGAGTGGAGTCCCACTGGTGAATTGGCAAGCCTGGAAAAGGTATCACCTCATTTGTTTAAAAGTTCAAGTCTGAGTTACTGCCTCAGATATATCAAAACTTTTTAAGAATAAAGAAGGAACAGAGAAGGCCTTACTCCAACATTCTTGGATATCTAAAACATACCTAGAACCTGGGAGTTCACTTCTAATTATATTGCAGCCATGAAGTGTAAGCACCGTGGTACCCAGAAAGTAACTTGTACAGTCATGACCTTCTACCCAACCATGGAAGAATTTAAAGATTTCAACAAATATATTGCTTACATAGAATCCCAAGGTGCCCACCGAGCTGGCCTGGCTAAGATAATCCCACCCAAGGGATGGAAAGCCAGACAGACCTATAATGATATCAATGATATCTTAATACCCACTCCCCTCCAGCAGGTGGCCTCTGGCCGGGCAGGTGTGTTCATTCAATACCACAAAAAGAAGAGTGCCATGACGGTGGGGGAGTATCGCCGCTTGGCAGACAGTGGAAAATATCGGACTCCACCACACAAGGATTTTCAGGATTTGGAACGAAAATATTGGAAAACCCGCCTGTATGATTCACCGATATCTGGCGCG